TGAAGTCCACACATCTTAAAGTTGCCAAGGTTGAGAAACCCTGCTTTAGAGTAATGAGATCTGGCATGCTCTCCATGTGCAAAGGCAGCATCTGAACTCACCACCTGAAATTTAAACTACCTGGGCATACTTTTGCCACCACAATAAAAAGGGCTGCATCTCTTTGCCCTGGATGTGACCACTGTTGAATCTGGCCTGCAAGCTGTGAAATAGAACTGTCTGTTGTTGGTCAAAATGAACAATCTCTCTTAATGTTAAGGCTCTGCCACCTATATAACCTTGTTATCAGCTATGGAGGCCTCTCTTGGCAACCAGGAGAGTTCCTCTTCCTAATTTGGGGGGAGAAATGAGAACAAAGAATGGCAGCACATTGTCAGCCTGAAGGGCAGTGGGGTGCTGGAGAAGGAAGACTTCTGTCTGAATGGGACAGTGTCCTTGCTGCTAAACCTTTCCTAGGAGATTGCTGAGGCCTGTCATTTGCTTATGTGCTGGATTTATGACTGCAGTGTTTCCTTCTCCGTATTGCACTGGCAGCCTTCTCTGAGATGTGCATGTAGAGAGGGAAGTGAAGGGATATGGCGGCTTCTGCATCTCCCTTGTCTTCTCCCTCAGCAAATTCTTGCTTCCTCCCCTTCCTCCCCGCCTGCTTTTCCTGGCAATTGGTATAAATAGACTCTGCCAGTCATGCTGCAGCAGAATGTGAGAGAGGCAAGAATGACCCAGTGATTCCATTTTGAAGCTGGATTGCAGGAGGCACCAAGTGGTGAGGACCAGCTGTACAGGCTGCCTTGCCTGCAGGCCAAGAAGTAGGCCAGACAAAAGGGAGAGCTCCCCTAATTCTGTGCTTTGAGGGGAAGTGGGAATGTTTAAATGGAAGGCTTCCTGCGGATAAGTAGACTGTACTGGCCAACATGAGAACCCACAGTAGAATAGATTTCTGGAAACAAAAATGAGCCCACGTTCTGCTCCTGTTTTTAGCAGTACTAAGTTAACATCGTTTAGTATTACAAGCAGGTTTATGTTCTTGAGAAACCTTGTTTTGCACAGTTGAAATAAGCAATATTCTGAATTCCTCTGTTTAAGGTGGGGTCACAGCAACCTTAAAGCAGATTGTTTTAAATCTTCCTAGGATAGAGGCTACGATAGAACTGAGTTCTAAAACAAGAACTTGAAATAAGAACTCAGTCTTTTAAGCACTGTGTAAAAGCAACATTCATTACTCTGGCTGGGAGACAAGATTCCCAGCTAATATGCCAAAAATGGGAAAGTATTAGCACTTATAAGGTTAGACATTTTAAGAGTTCCCTTTTGTCTGGCTGCCAATGGTGAAAGGAAGTTTCCCTATATTCCTGTTTAAGTTGGCTGAGTTCATATTTTCTGCTAAGTCACGATATGGTTTGTTTGGCTTTTGATTAGTGTGGTGAGTGAGCTCAGCATTGTGGTTTGTAAATTATGGCTTTGTGTGTGAAGCCACCACGAGTAAAAAAAAGTAGTTTGGTTGTGTTCCACTTGTTGGCTTCCTTGAGCACCTGGCCAACCCATCTGGCTCGGTATACTATGACACCAGATGCTGGACCGGCAGACCTTCATTCCGATCCATCAGTTTTGCTTATGGATCACCTAGTTCAGTATTGAGTATTGCCAACCATTTGGTCAGTGGCTCTCTAGGACTACAGAAAGAGACATACCCACCCTGCCTCAAGACATCAAGGACGAAATATGGAGCCTTCTGTCTGCAAAGTATCATATGCCTTACCGCTGAGTGGTGGCTCTTCCTTAAGCTTAAGGGGGGAAAAGAAATGTTTCCTTTCTCTTCCCATGCAAAAGGTGGCTAAAGCAAGGCTTTGCAAAATGCCATCAGAAGGCAAGTTTTCCTTCCCTTCTCAAGTGCTATTGGTCAGTAAGAAGCAAAGTATTTATGATACCTGCAAGGAAACTACATCTATAAAGCATTTGTATCCAATAGTACAAACACTTATAAACATAGAACATCCGTGACTATAATGGGGAGAGGTGGAAAGAGAAACCTGTTGTAGAAAAAAAGTGATTCACTATAATATGAGCCAAAACAATTGGAGACCCAAAACAAATTACTTTATCGAAGTACCCTAAACCAGTGACCACTGGCCCCGAATACAGATTTGCAAAGGATTAGATGGGAAAAAATGCATTATGAATCATGAAAAATTAATTACATTTGCAGAGGCAGGAAAAGCCCCGAACTATATGTCAGCAATAAAGTAATCACCCAAATCCAAACTTTGAGACTAGCACCACAGACTTGTTTTGCCCCTGATTTACATTTCTTCATTATTATAAGCATTATAAAATGACCTCTTTTTATACTACTGTACTCTTTACACATTTCTTTGTATTATTATTGGGCTTCTGTTCCCTCAAAGAAAATTACAATTGCCAAAAGATACCTGGGGTCCTAATAGCTTCCTTGTTTTTTTACATAGTTACATTTCTACTGCTAGCACAGAAATACGATTTTAAACCAAAAATCAATTCTTAATTAGAAAACTAAAAATCTCCCTTTACAGATATCTTTTCAACTTCAGTTTTCAAACACCACAAAGCTAATCTTTAACTTACAGTTGATTTCCTAGGGTTGGTTCAAACAGGTAGATACTTTAATTGGGTTTTATATTCTTGATTAAGCTATACTTAACACATAGTTAAGGGTACCCTGTTGCAGTCTTCTTCTCTGATATGAAAATAAGTTCCTTGAGTGTACTGTACATTCCATTCTTGCAATCATCCACTAGGATTTCTCCCAGGAAAGAGGAGAGTCAAGTTGATGCACAGATCCTGCAAGTAGGTGGGGCTCATCCTTGGAGTCTATAGATAGACAGTGAACCCACTTTGAAAAATTGGAGGCTGTGTTGGAGAAACCGTTTTTGAGATTATAGAAAGTATTGTATTAGGCCCACTGATGCACAAAACATGTGATCATTTCCAGCTGCAGTGATCAGGTAATGGACCAGTGAGATGCCAGTTAAATATATATTTATATGCCAGTATAATAAGCCAGATATATGCCAGATATATCATTTATATGCCAGATATATATATATCTGATATATATATATATATATATATATATATATATATATA